CTTAAAAACGGAAGAAATTTTGACACAGGCTACCACGTGGATGAACCTTAGAATATTACGCTGAGTGAAATAACTCTGTCACTAAAGGACAGATACTGTACGATTCCACATATATAAGGAACCTAAAGTAGGCAAATTCATAGAAAGCAGAATGGTGGCTTTCAGAGGCTAGAGGAAGGGGGAATGGGAAGTACTTAATGGGCACAGAGTTTCAGTTTCACAAGATGAAGAATAGATAGGTGGTGATGGTTGCACAGTATGAATGTACTAAATACCACTGAACTGTACGAAAAGATGGTTAAGGTGGTAAATTGTTAGGTGTGTTTTACTACAACTTAAAAAAAAATTGGAAGACATATAATGGTGTCATGTCAGTGAACACTAATAATTTTTATTTATTTATTTGAGAGCAAGAGAGTGAGCGAGCGAGAGCACAAGGGGGGTGAAGGGCAGAGGGAGAAACAGACTCCCCGCTGAGCAGAGAGCCTGATAAGGGACTTGACCCCCAAACTGTGGGATCATGACCTGAACCAAAGACAGACGCCCAACCAATTGAGTCATCCAGTTGCCCCTAATAATTTTTAAAGTAAGCAACTAAATGAGATACGGTATTCTGAATTGGCTCCTAAAACAGAAAAAGCTCATTAATGGGAAAACGGACAAAATCCCAGTACTGTCGTTTACTTAATATATCAATGCTAATTTCTTAGTGTCGATGAACGCACCAAGGCTACATAAAGTGTCAACATTTGGAAAGGAGGTAAAAGGTGTACGGGAACTCTGTACTAACGCTGCAAGATTTCTCTAAATCTAACATTCTACGAAAATAATAAATAAAAATTCATTTAAAAATAAGTTTTAAAAAGCAAGTGACAACTTAAAAGTTTGAATTAATTCCTACATAGACGACAAAGACAACACAAATATATTAGATAAAGGAAGCAGCAAAACGCAAATGCTTATACATAGCTACAGTAGATATGAAATTTTAATTTTTATTGTGCCGTTCACTGTTGACTCATTATTGCCTCATCATCCACTAACTGCAAAAAGGCAGGCTGCTGAATTTTATATCGTAGCAATATTTCCTTAATGATTCTGGTGCGTATTTTCACTTAGATTACAAACAAATGTTTCTTAGTGTGGGTACAAATGTGAACTTCCTTCTGCCAACTCCTGCCGTTGGATCTTCTAAACGGGCTGGAAGTTCGCGAGCATCCCGTTTCAGGTCATTTCTAAGCCAAGTATGTGCTCAGTGGGTGCCTGGGCCGTGACAAGTCAGACCACACAGACCCTACTCAGCACAGGGTCTTCCCTGCACCGGCTAGAAGCAAATTTGGGGGTACATAGCCATCTGCACCAATATGAGGGTTCACTTCAGCCACTGGAAGTTCATATGTGGAGTTGAGTATGTGCTGTAGTTGTTAGAAAAAAGGATCATGAAACACTTCAATCAGTAACCAAGTAGTGGGAAGCAGTTGATGAAAACATCTTCAGTAACGAGCCTATTTAAACACTGTACTCAGATCTAAGAGAAAACAAAGCTTTAATCAGAAAGACGACTTGAAACAAGTACGTTTCAGTTTATTGCCCAGCCCAGCTTCTTCCTGTTAAAGGTCAACTGCATAAAAACTGGTTTAAGACATACAGAAAGGCAAAAATACACTATTGCTTTTAACCGCTCTGCACAAGTGAGAAATGACTGAGGGTATTGTACCTTCTTTCCTTCCCTCCTCTGTAACCAGTGGCCTCAAGACTCAAGGGATTCACACTACAGGTGCAAGGAACGGTGAATCACAGGTGCAGTTTGCCTTGCCTTTCCCCATGACCTTCGGGGTCAATAGGTTAATAACTTGCTTTGACCACAAATAGAGCTCTTCTTAATTTCTCTAGCACAACCTTAAATTTGATATGAAGCACTTACACGAGGAATGGTGCAGGCAAGAAGGCAGCTTTATTGTACTTTGGGGAAAAAACAGGATTCCATTTAGGGGGGCGGGGGAATAAAAGCCATTGACAGTCAAAGCAACACTGCCACCTAGTGGAGAGGTGACACACCACCAAGACTTCCAAGACCAGGTATCAAATGTGCTAGGATTTGCTGGTTTAAATTTTCATCCTACAACAGAACGTTAATATATTGGTTTTCTGAGAACCTGATTTTGAGAAAGTATTTGTATCTCTGAAATACATAAATAGATGTGCTTTCTCTGCTTTTGAGGGGCATAAAGAAGAGAGATTTTGGTGTTTTTTTTTTTTAAATAGACCATAAAATTAATTCTTGATTTCAAAATTATGAAACACTTTGCGGCAACCTGCCTCTTTAAACATCCATCACTCTTGCACTCTTGTTCGACAGTCAAAACAGCAAGATTATGACAGTTTATAAAGAAACAAAACTCAACTGTGTAAGAACTACATTATGTTTACTCATTTCCTCTATTTTCATAATCTAGGGTGCTAAGTATTTGCACTTCACTTACTTGAATTCCTGGGGGAAAAAAGCACTAGAATGCACCAATAACAATTTTGCATAAATCACATAACCCAACTCTTCTTATGAAAACACAGTAACAGTGGAAGATATTGGTGTGAGGATGTGGGAATGCTGTTCTTAATGAATAATAAAGTGATTCTTCTTGAGGCTTTCATTCTCCTTTATACCCAGGTGTTGCAGTAAATGTGTTGACTTGATGACTTCTATGAGCATATAAATGAGAATATTTAATGAAACACCTGGCTGAAAAAAAGAAAGTCATGAGAATAACATATTGTTAATAACCACAATCTCAAATCCATCGTCTCTGTTATTACTGAGATTTTAGATTCTGGGTTAAGTGCTCTGCTCTCTTTGGAATATGCACAATGGTTATTGATCTTGCTAATGAGTTCCTCTATTGCAACATTTGTGGGTATATGGTTGGAGGCACTCACAGATTATAGAATATAGGAGTCTGACATGGTCTTCATCAGTCCCTATTCTTGGCAAATAAACTCAGTAAAGAGTTTCAGGAAGAACCAGGTTCTGGGAAAGAGGTATACATGTGTAGAGTAAGAAGTGGAATTAAAACATTTTTAGGCTGCATTTTGTCAGCAGCCACAGATGAATGTTTCAATTCTGAGAACCTGAGATTGTCCAGAAAAGCAGAATTCTGAGTATGGGGTGGAAGCTATCACAAAGTCGGAAACCAGTGTTTTGAATTTCCCAAAGCCAACGTGAAACGGGGAATGGGGAGTGGTCCCTGAAGTACTAGATCTGAATGAAGTTGTTCTTCCTAAGGGTTTGTCTAGACTGCCTAGTTCAGTGCTCACCACAGTTTGCAATATTCCCCTGGCTCCCACCCGGTGGGAAGCCTTTATCACACAGTCCTAACTGCACTTTTCACATAATGCTACTATTTGGGCACCCCTGAAGCCAAAGCAATAAAAGATCCTAGGGGAGCCTTATATTAACTCAAACATGATGCCAGAGTCATCTCCAAAAAAGTTTATTAGCATGATTAAAAACATTTTTTGAATAATAACAGAAAGAATTTCTAAACATGAAAGAATATCAGTGGCTATACCTTTTATAACCAAATATTTGCAACTGAACAGACAGCTTTATTGCCAGTCTTCACTTTATTAAAAACAATCCATATTTATTGGTTCCTTGTGACGTCGTGACTATTGCTTTGACTGGGAATGAGTCCCTACTGTAATTAAGTATAAAAAATATCTTCCATACTTGGGAGTGTGACCTGTATACTGAGAAAAGAGTTGATAAAAATCCTCAAAGAGTTGGGTTTTGTTTTTTTAAAAACATTCCTTTTACACACTACAAAGAAATGATTAGTATTTTGGCTTTTTAAATTCCTACATGATATTTAGAATGGCAGTCCCCAAAGGTCCTCCCTTCACGTAATCGCAAACGCAGACCCTCTTCTGGAGTGTACATTCTTGGGGTGGGCTCTGAAGACTCGGGCCTCCACGTGTCTATACTGGTTTGAGAACAAAGACAGCGTCGTCCAGAACGTAGTAGTCATTGTACATGTCGCCTTCACACAGGTATGGTAATCTGGTGAAAGCTTCGATAACAAAACCAGCTTTTCTGAAAACTTCTGGCAGACTATTCACTTGTTCTTCCCAGTTCTGTCCCTTGATTTCTAAAATTTCTGATGGTTTCTCCCACTTGCCACCTACTAAAACAAATAGAAACATTAAGTTAAATTCTTGAACAAGTTAAGGTATTCAGAGAGAGAAGGGAGGAAGAACAACATTTGCCAGGGACTTGGTATGTGCCAAGCACTGGGTGCTTCGATGACTCATCTACCTGATACCTCCTGAGGAGGAGGGCAGAGACCAAGTATGAACCCAGAGGGCTGAGGAACTCGCCCAAGCTTGCAAGTTAAGAGCAGAAATGTAACCCTGGGTTTATGTGGATCCAAAGCCCACACTTTTACCTTCTCTGACAGAGACTCTCCTGGAGTCTCTGATTCCAGGAAACCAATTAGGTTGTAAGTGTTTATGATTCTGGAGAACTCCACATTAAACACACAAATACGGAAGCAGAGAGTTACCCACAAAATGTGAAAGAAGGTTTAGGGATAAATGCAAGAAATATACCTGTAATGAAGTAAATGTATGAATGAGACAGGCTGAAAGCGGACTAATAAAAGTTTTATTTATAAAGACAGATCATCGGTGTATTTTTCAAGGGAAGGTGATGGGACCTACTCCTTAACTTTTCATAACGATTTTATACAAGTTAAGCTCCAACACCAGAGAGAGGTAGAGCTCAAGAATGACTGGGTCAGCCTAGCATTTCTTGGACTAGTGGCTGAAGTCTGTATCTGTCATTTCCAAGCCCATGAGTGTCAGATGCTTGTGGAGCAGGGGTAGGGGTGCCTGGATAAGGTCTCCAGGCCTTCAAGTTCACACCAAGCATTGGCTACAGACACATGGACACAAAGATAATGGTATATGTCAATTCTGGGGTGGTTTTAGGTCCTATGATGTTAAAAAAAAAAAAAATGCACACATATTAAAAGTATTACTAACTTCAGAAAGAGGGTAGCTTTCTGTGAGAAAATACATGATCAATAGGTCCCAAGAATACATTCACTACAATGGAAAGACTTTTCGCTCTTCTTGGTGGCCCAGCACCTGAACCCTCTTCCTGGAGTCTTGTGGGAGACAAAGCCCAGGGAAGTAGCTTTCCCGGCTGTTCCTGCAGCGAAGGCAGGCACTGGTGCATGACCCAAGCTCAGACACACTCGCCTGAGACATGGAATGAAGAGCAAGTGACCCAGAGAAGTGAGACAGAGGCTCCTTCCCGGCGGGGGCAGAGCAGTGTCCATGAGACTGCAGCTGGGGCGGCATCAGGTGGTGTGAACAACTGAGTGTGGCCTATGCCACGGTCCCTAGGGCTAGGCAGCAGCAGTACACCCTTCAGATCAGTTTCACAGCATAATCTGAGGCGTCTGTCTTTGCTGTAGACCCTACAGGATTCTCCAATCCTCCCGTGACTGTGAACTACCCCTGAATCCTTTCAATCAACTCCCTCTCACTGAAGTCAGCCTGAGTCCATTTCTGCTGCTTCCAGGGAAAAACCCAACTGATGAGGACTCTGTAGGGCAGGAGAGGGGGTAGGAAGGAACCTCAACAGAGGGTCCACACTTGGTTTCAACAACACATTAACAAGGGGTTACACAAAGCTGAGGTACAACTAGATAATATCACCAACATTTTTCTTCACTGTACCACAGTGTACTGTTCACTAATTTTTCTCTTCTCGCTTTACAAAGACACTCCTTCTACTTCTTCCAACTTTCCAGTGTTACTGGCCCAGCACTGAGCACATAGTAGGTCCCCAGGATCATCAACCAAACTACCCCGCAAATTTAAAGTACCAATTACCTGTAAAATAATACTCTTTCTTGGGAATACACACCACGTTAAAATCTCCCTCAAAACATCTACAAGTCCAAGAAAAAATTTACCATATGAACATTCAGGAATGAGCTCTAGGCTAAAATCTCAACTCTAAGTGGTGAAACTCAGTTACAAACAATCTTTTACACAATTTCAAAAAGTTTCAGGTTATGGTTCCTTAATAAGAGTTCCTCTATTCAGTTCTTCTTTTCTAAAGACACAGGAAAAAAAAGAGCCAACTCTCTTCAAATGCACAGTGCCCACCATCACATGCACACACCCCAAGAGATGGAGACTGTGACGGGAGGCAGGATCATTCTCGGCCTGGAAATCAGCCTGATTCTCTTTTATGTCGGTAAGTTTCTTTCTTTCCTCCTCCATTTTATCTAACCAATCACTATTCCTCACCTAATGCATTTCTATTTAAAGCCCCTGCAGATTAATTTTTAAATGTCTAATGCTATGGAAGTGGTCTTTAACCCCAAGACAAATAGGTAGTAACAGAACAGCTGAGAAGAAGTTTCAGATTAACCTTGACAATTTCCCTTGCTGATTTAGAGAAGAGCACCTCACCAAACAAAGGGGTGAAAAGGTTCATGTGCTAGTCATCAATAATGTCGTGTCCACACAGGCAAACGTGTGTTGCCCATGACGGGCATACAAAATAATTACTGAACATTTTCAAAGAATAAGGTGTCTTGGGGTGCCTGGGTGGCTCAGTGGGTTAAAGCCTCTGCCTTCGGCTCAGGTCATGATCTCAGGGTCCTGGGATTGAGCCCCGCGTCGGGCTCTCTGCTCAGTGGAGAGCTTGCTTCCCCCTCTCTGCTTGCTGCTCTTACTTGTGCTCTCTCTCTCTCTCTGTCAAAGAAATAAGAAATCTTTAAAAAAATATTTTTTTCTCATCTGTAATGAAATTTATAAAAAATGTTAACAATGGTTATTTTGGGCATAAAGACTATGGGTGATTTCAGTAATACTCTGATTTTTTTTTCCTAATCCATATAAATGACTTTCATAAACTATTTTCATTAGTATTATTTTAAAGTAGAATCCTTACCTTTTAAAGATATACCCTGACAGATGTGAAGAGAGAATATCTGAGATTTACCCTAAAATCGTGTGGGAGTGAAGGAGCAGGTGGGGGGAGTGAAGGAGCAGTGGGGTGGGGAAGAAGCAAGGTAAGACTGGGACAAGCAGGAGACATTCACTGTGCTAGCCTGCTGCTTCTGTGCATGCTTGAAATTCTCCATGTCAAGTGTCAAAAATCAGTTTTCTACTTATTTTCCAGCTTGGATCACAATAAAGTGATTTTTTCAAAGAGGGCAGGAGAGAGACTCAGGGGAGGGAAGAGAGAATCAAGAGTCAGGCGGTTAACCGACTGAGCCATCCGGGTGGCCAAAGCAATCTCTTTATTCCCAATAAGATAAACTTTCAAACTTTTCAGAGGGTCCTGCATTGGGGGGGAAAAAAATAAAAAGAATCCTCTAGGATATGAGACTCCTTAAACAGAAATTCTTGCAGGACTAGGCTTGGTTATGACCCATTATCCAAACTTCTCTCTTTGGCGAAGACGCTGTGTCACTGGTGTGGGGGAGGGGCGGCCATTTCCTAGCGGTTCAGGGCTCTCAGGGGAAGCTGTTGCCAGCTCCTCTCCCACACTCAACGCGAACAGTGCAGAAGTCGGAAATGAGTGGAGACATGAAACTCCAAAGTTGCAAGTATTTCTTCTTCCCCGGGACATTAGTTCTCCAAAATTTTTTAAAAATCAGCTTCCCTTTAAGACTCTATCTGAAGGAGGACTCCGACTGAGATGCTGCTGGCTAACTGCTGGATCTTGGCAGGCCCACCTCCGTTTGAAACCCCCATTATATACTGATCATTATAACGTGCAAAGTGTTCGTGCTGCTAAGGGGGCGGCCTCTGAGTAGGAGACGTAAGGCTGTAATTACCGGACCTAGGAGTGAGTCCAATCCCTCAGCGGCAGGTGAGTAAGGACCCTGCTGGTCCTTCTCCAGGTGACCTTACCCTGTCTTCTAGTCTATATTTATCAGGTCACTAAAACACTTCCAGCTCATCTCAGATTGTACATATATTAAAATTAAAATGTGGCAAGAATATATTTGCATCACAAATGCCATCATTCTATTTTTAATTTCTCTTCTCTTCTGAATGAAGACTAAAAAAAACCGTTAAGTCAAAAAACAAAACAAAACAAAAATCCTTTCTGAAATTCAAGCATCAGACCACTTGGATTACTTTTCAGTTTTATGTACAGTAGCAAAGGACAAACTCAGACAAATAAGACCATTTGGAACACATAACCAGGCAGAAGTCAAACTAAAAACTTGCATAAATTCCAATTTGTCTCAACCAGTATGATTTTATGTAAACCCTCCCTTATCCCAAAAAGGGTTCAGGGCAGAGTTTCCCACTCGGAAACACTACAGTGCTTTCCACGTCAGGGGCCTGAGGTTAGAAGGCCAAGGTGGGGACCCAGCCAGCATAACTTGGATAAAGCATGCAACAGAGAGAGCACCGGATGGGGTGTCGAGTCTCGGGCCTGCTAACACCCGCTGAGACACCCACGATTATCCCTAGAACAGGCATGTGACACCATGGGACAGGAGAAGTGGAGGCAGGCGCGGCAGCAGACTAGCTACCTTTTATTAAGTTCTTACTAAGGTTTAGCCGAGTAAGTATTCCTCAGGCATCAGCGGCCTCACCTAAACCTCCCACTGACTCCATGCTGCATATACGAGCCCCACTTCGCTACCAACCACAGGGCTGGGACCCGAACTCGAGTCTGTGCTCTTTATCACAACACTGTTCATCAAACAAGACAGAAGCTACAAGGGACTAAAAGCAGGATGCTGGTGCCGGGAAGAAATCAGATCTGCTTACGGTGGCACAGCTAACTCATTAGGCCTCTGCTTGGTAACCAAATATGCCGGAGGCTAAGCCAGGGCTATATTTCCCCAGGTGTGGACCTAGTCTTTTATGTCTCCCATAGGGACAACCAGGCTTACAAAGGGATAATTGTGACCTGCCGTGAATTCCTAGCAATCCCAACCCCCCACAAGGCAAAAAAAGAAAAAAAAAAAAATCCCTCACCTCATGAGCTCAGTCAGCAGGGACACTTGCATGAGGTGCTTCGATACCCATTACCACACTGACCACAGCGCTCCTGGGAGGCCAGGGGTATAGATGAGGAAGCAAGCTCAGAGATCAAAGGAAAGCTTGTAAGGACACCAAGAGTAAACTTGGGGACCCCAAATTCCTGACTCCAGATCTGCTGCCACCTCAAGTAATCAGACAGCACAGCCAACAGCAACCCTGCTGGTCAGCGAGTGTGAAGAGTTAGGAAAAGTGAGGGGCACTGCTGTCTTACTAGTGTAGTCTTGTTTGTGCTGAGGAAGGTGTAAGAAAAAGAAAGGAATCTGGAATTCCCTAGCCCCAAAATGTCCTTAAAATAGAAGCACAGGCAAAGGGAAACGTGGCTCGTGTGCTTCCTCCCACAGGTGCTGCGCGTGACTGTCTGGTCTTTGTCCATCAACCGCCTTACCTCGAAGTGGCCCACACTCAAGGGGCCGTGACCATTCAGTGTTCCTTCTCCTACGATGGGTGCATTACAGGGCAACCAAAAAGCCTGTGGTTTCGCTATGGTGCGGACCAGCCTGAGAACCTATGCTCGGACGGATGCACTGGCGATGCAGGCAAATTCACAGTGAAGGAAGCCCTGACAGAGGGAGAAGTCTCCCTCACTATAAACAGGGTGACTCTGAATGACAGCGCCATCTACATCTGTGGAATCGCCTTTCCCGAATCAAAGCAACCAGGAGCTAAGCGGACCGGAGAAGGGACCACACTGGTGGTAAGAGGTCTGTCAGCTGAGGCTTTGCCCAGCCCTTTAAATGATTACATCACTTATATGCAGGGATGAAGAAACAGATGCACTAACTCAATACCCTAGCGAGTGAAGGGCGTGGTCTGACACAAGCGGACAGGATGTCGGGTTGGAGCACTATTCCAATCCCATCTCCCAGCCTCCACAGACACAAAGTCAGGGCTCTCTCTCACTCTGTGTCCAGACTCTGCGAGTGCAGGCTGGCCAACAGGGCCTCCTTTTGTGAATGACAGTGACCGGTAATGTGTCAAGTCCAAAGGGAAACTTGGGATGATTAGTGAGCAGCTTGTTCAGGAACTGGGCTGGCATTGCATCATCTAGAATAAAGCATAAATGACCAATAAATTGAACCCAGGAAGAAAAAAAAGGCAGTATGGAGAATAAATATAAATCTGAGGAGAAGCCACTGGGGGACCTCTAACCCCACCCATTCTGCATGGCCAGAAGAACAGAAAGGGATCAGTGTGACACTGGCTTCTTGAGATTTGCTACAACCTATGACAATTTCCTCATTCCTCATTGAACCCAGCTACATCCTACAAATCAAGAAATTAAGGAATTTCGGGGGGGCGCCTGGGTGGCTCAGTGGGTTAATAAGCCTCTGCCTTCGGCTCAGGTCATGATCTCGGGGTCCTGGGATCGAGACCCTCATCGGGCTCTCTGCTTGGCCTGCCTCTCTGCCTACTTGTGATCTCTGTCTGTCAAATAAATAAAAATAAATCTTAAAAAAAAAAAAAAAGAAAAGAAAGAAATTTCAGGAAAAAAGCTTCACACGATTCTGGGGAAAAGAAGAGAAAGGAGATAATCCTTGACTTTTTTGGATCTCTTCTGTTAAAAAGGACTCTGGTACGATGAACACTGAAATCATTAAAACACTAACTCAAAATCAACCAGCCCTACCACTTTAAAATAGGACTTTAGGGACCCGAGATCATCCTTTATTATAATTCCTGCTTGGGTTTTTGGTACCCCTTTGTTATTTAGCCTTAGTTTACTCTCACCCGTAAGATAAATTATAAGTGAGTTAATACACATAAAACACTTTTGATGATGCCTGGCTTATAGCAAGTATGCTTAAATAAATGTCAGCTGCAGACATTAGAACAAATATACAACAACTTTGGAGACTTGTATTAGTCTACAAAAAACGTCAGCCAAAACTAAAAATAGTTTGTAAAGAGATGAAAGGTCTCAAAACTGCAAGTTCATGTGAAGACAGATTCTTCTCTAAGAACAGAAATGGAAGTATAACTAAGACAGAGCGATTTCCTGCCTCTTCGACAGGGCTCCAAATTTAGCACTTGAAACTTTTTTTTAAAGATTTGATTTATTTATTTGACAGACAGAGATCACAAGTAGGCAGAGAGGCAGGCAGAGAGAGAGGGTAAGCAGGCTCCCCGCTGAGCAGAGAGCCAGATAAGGGGCTTGATCCCAGGACCCTGAGATCATGACCTGAGCGGAAGGCAGAGGCTTAACTCACTAAGCCACCCAGGCGCCCCTAGCACTTGAAACTTTTTAAAAAATTTTACAGAGGTGGTTAATCTGTTACAAAAATGTATGCTGTACAAACTAAGTTCACAGGATGAGCATCTATGGGCTATTTCGCTGGAAAGTACAGAGTGTTCAGATAATAATTACATTTCTAATTGTATTTTGTGCTTCAAATAATCAGGTAATTGAAGACAACACATGTTGCTCTATCCCCACCCAGAGCACGGGACACTTGCTGCAAGGAGGGAGAAATTCAGAATGTGAATACAGATTCAATAATTCTACCTCCAAAACTTTATAAGAAAAGAAGGCACACGTTTAACAGTGCCTGTCATTTAAGGGTGTAGTAGGTCCTGAGATTCTCAACATAGGGGCTTCTCAGCTGCTTGTACGGAATGCACTATACAGCTGTGTATACGAAACAGTTCAAGGTTATAAATGCCAGCATTCACAAACACATGGCAAAAATATCCTAACTCCATGAACAGACTGTTGGTGATCCTTGTACACCATTTCTACCAAAAGAAACTTTAAATGCCCTTGCACAAACTGTCCTAAAATGTTTATCTAACTTCAAATAATGTTTTATAAAAAATGATTCTTAGTATTATGGCAAGTAATTGATTGAACTTAATTTTTTTTTAGTTTTCAAAAGAAGTAACAATTTTAGTATATTTAGTATATTTAGAGAAATGATGAACTGGTTTCAGTTCTATCACATCCTTGAGGGTCTTCTGAATCAGGAGACCCTGAATAAATTTTTAAATGACTAGCCAAGCAGAGCAGCTCACATCTCACCTCTAATACTCAGAGCTCCAGTTGCATTTCATGCATGTATTTGCAATAATATGTTTCAATAATGATTGTGGCTCTTTCTGTTTTTGTAATTAACAAAGAAATGAAGGAACTACACAGACTACACAGCCTCCTGATAGCCATTATATCACTGCTCTCTATCTACATTACTGGTGCACTCGTGATCTTCATAATCCTCTCCAAAGTAAGTCCAATTTCCTTGCACTAGATGTCCCTATAGCCTGGAATATTATCCTAAGGAAATAACTTCCATCTCTTCACATGTGAGCCTCAGAAATAGCTCACCTAATTAACAACCTCCTGTACATCTGCAGGAAACACCACCTGCAGGAACGGTCTATGGAAGTGTAACTTCTCATCACTGAAATTATTACTAACCAGAGTACAAAACTTGCAATGTTTTCTCTTTAAAACCAGTCCTATGAGAATAAAAATCCTTCTCTATAACTATCTTATATGCGATCTTTCCACTGGGAAGCATTACTGTTATCTATAAAAGGCCTATGAACAGCCTTTAAGAGCAAAAAGGGGTTAACAAAGAGATGAGAAGCTGCCTTAAAATATTTGTAAAAGGCCTAAAGTTTTTGGGAAGGAATATCTTCTGGCTGTTCATAGGCTATAAGAGGGGGTACATATATGCTATATTAGGATCATGACACAGCCTAGAATCAACATCAATATAAAAAAATATATATAATAAAAGCATCTCAGAAATTACATAGACATTAACTCTTACTGTATATCATTTAAATGTTGAATTAGTTTAATCTTAATATGGTAGAGGATATCTGCCACAACGGTTTTGAGAACATAAAATGTCTTAAAAGACTTTCCTTTTTTCTTCACAGTCAAAATCTAACTCTTTAAGAAACAAAGGAACAGAAGATTCACAAAAGGTACAGCCCAACGCTTATATCTTTTAAACGGTGACTAGTTGTAATGATTTCAAACCTGAAATAATGAAAAAATTACAGAGAACATCATGGTAACTTTCAACCATAGATACCATTTCTTATTACTGAGAAACTCAAGGATAATCTCAAGTGGTAAACTATGATTTAAATGTGATCATTCTCAGCCACTAACCCTACCAAACACACTGAGACTACAAGAGTTAATAGTGAGTGTAGATGTGCTGGGGGGTGGGGGCAGGCCACCACTCTGACTGGTGGCAGTAAAGAAAGACAAAGCTCAGATGTGTGTGCAAGAATTACTCTTCTAGTCCTAAGAGAGACAGGCGTTTTGTTCTCATTTCTGTTTACAGAAGAAGAGTGCCCGGCGTATTTTTCAGGAAATTGCTCAAGAACTATATAGTAAGAGACACACAGAAACAAGACAGCAACCTGTAAGTGTAAAATATCAAGGAGATGTAATGCAGACACAAAGCATGTTGACTGGAAAAGCTAAGCCACTAGCGAGCCATTAATCATCATGTTTTCCTCTAGAGGAGTCTGAAAGAGACTTTCACACAGAATGCATTTTTATATAGAACCTGTTTCAATACACAACAAAGGACATCTGAAACAATATTAAATAGAGACCAAGTTGGCATCTTAGCGACATGGAATCTTTCAGAAACACATTGGATAGAGGCAACATTTTCAATTCAGACAAGGATGCTTTTGTGGATTAAAAGATCCTTGCGCAGTACCCTGCATGCAGTAGCGCGCAGTAAGGAAATGCTGCAAACCACTGCAGCTCACATTGTACAGAACACATCACTTATTGCTAATAAGGCAGAAATAAATTCACAGTAGAAAAGAGTAACTAATTAAAATAAAAATCAAGGCTTTCTCAGTCTTTGGGGTTAGAGTGGCAGGAAGAATGCGTTCATATAATCTGTAACATACTTGACAATGTCTCTTTAAAGTCCTATATAACAGGTTTTCCAAACAAGATGCTCTTCTAGTGCTAGTGGAACAGATACTGAAGTTCCCATCATGCACAATCAGGCTGCCCAGATTTAAATTAAAATGCATATGATATAATGAACTTATACACAACTAAGGATTTTTCTTAAACAGCCACCAAGAGGGCAAATGTAACAAGTGTCTGATATGAGGTGTTTTCCTTTTTTCATCCAACTTTTAAAGAGGATTTTCATCCAGGAAAGAGTGTGGTTTAAGTAGTCATTTCATAGTTCAGTGTGTATATACATACATAAAGAAAAGGTCTAATCACCTAAGATACCACTCTGCATAATTAAAGATGCCTTGTTCACTCTTTCCTTACTGAAGCTAGAGCATCTTTTTCTGCAAACATACAAAGATAAGTGTCTTGAAGACAAGTCTAGAAGTAAGTACTATTACGTAACCCAGGACTCTCCCAACAGCATCTCAACAAGAAAACTAATTTTCAACAGAGCACAGAGGCACATGTTATTGTATACTGTGAGGATAGAGACAGCAAATCCCAGACTGAAAACACTGCAGGCCAAATAATCCTTGTTTCAACAACAATATGGACAACAAAAATGCAATGAATGGAATCTTAATATACTTATTAAAAAACAATAATAGAAAAATGCTCTAAGAAAAGAAGAGAAAAGTAATTTGCAGTTCGCACATCTTACTCTAAATGCAGAAAGAACAGTAACTGCACTATTAAGATTACTGGAGGCTACTCAGGACACAGAATGCAAGAGGGCATGTTAATTAATACGTTGCTTGCCATGGGGCCTCACTGGTTATATAACCTTAAATATGGCTTGTCATTTACTATTGCAGGAGAAAGGCAACACTTACAAAAACAGAAGAGCACTTTCCAACTATGAAAGACCATAGAAATGTTTTAATTTTCAAGTAAGTCACTGAAAATCCAAATCCAGAAGTTATGGCAGTTTTAATGGACATACGCCCATCAGGGCTTTAAAAAACAATCAAAGGTTAATGGAAAAGACAATTCTCTACAAGGAAGGATGTACAGGGAAACTGTCACTAAGTAATTACCAAGATACTAAAACCCTACAAAATACAACTGAAAAATACTTTCCTAACTTGCCAGAATTCTGAGTAGTCTAACATTTTAGAAATTGCCATTTTCCTAACATATTCCTATATACGTGTCATTTGACACATGAGGTACATGAGGACTGCCACCCTGAAAATTAGAAGTCACATCCCATGCTTCTGTCTTGGGTGGAAGAATTGTCTTTATGGTTGAGGAAGTGATGGGCCAACGAGACTAAGATGGGAGGCAGGGAAGAAGAAAGGGAAGTGCCAAAATTTGAGTTTAAAAAAAAAAGGGAAGACGAAAAACCATCTTGCAAAGTACCTTGGAGTGAATACTATTCTTCTTGTATTGCCACTGGGCAACAGTAGAGTGCACATTTTCCTGCCTGCGTATGCAAAATGACTTACATCATGCTACCAACAAAAAGTGAAAAAAGAGAGTAAGAATATGATATCTAAAATATAGAGGATCTGATGCAGGAGGTTAAACAGAAAACCTCAGAACCTCAGAACACAGAAGCCCCAGCCAACTCTAGATGTCAGTGTTGCGCCAAACAACAGCACCAGGGAAGCAGTGGGCAAGGCACTGTGCTTGCCTGTGCCTTTATAATACTGATTTTTAACAGATTTAGGAGGGGAATATCAGGTAAGGGGTGGGGCCAGCAAGGATGTTTACGGAATCATTACCATCTCACTGAGAAAACATACTATGGATTGTTCTTTGAAAGCTACCTCACTGTAAAAATGTATTTAAAGTACCCACAAGTGTGCATTCATTATTAAAAATGAACTACAACCTATTTTTATTTCATTAAAATGTTTTTTTAAGACATTAAATTAAGACACCTCCTATTAAATGAGGTGAATTCGGGGGGGGGGGGGTGCACCTGGGTGGCTCTGTCATTAACCTTCTGCCTTCAGCTCAGGGTCATGATCCCAGGGTCCTGGGATTGAGCCCCATATTGGGCTCCCTGCTTGGCGGGGAAGCCTGCTTCTGTTGCCTTTCTCATTGTGTCTCTCTCTGTCAAATAAGTAAATAAAATCTTTTAAAAAATAAATAAATAAATGAGGTAAATTCTATGTTTAAAACCCAAGCAGAATTTTAAAATATTTTAAGATCCTGTGAAAATGTCTGGCAGTGATGGCAGTAATAACATGTGTTATTACATGTGCTCGGAAAAAATGGGAAGAGGAGAGAGAGGGGGGAGCATGTCAACTCCTTTTATTTGTGTGCTTGTATATATTTGTGTGAGTGCCTATGTTGTGCATTTGTGTGTGCTGGGTATAGTGTATGTGTATATATGTACGTGTATATATGTATGTGTATACATGTGCATACGTGCATATATGTGTAACTGACACACAAAAGTAGAAATTAAACAATTGGCTTAAAAAGTCATAGAAAGAGAAATGTTAATGTTTTCTTCCTGTAACTCAAAGTAAACGGTCTTGTGTTCTCCTGGGCATATAGCTCTATTCTGAGACTGCTGGCTTGGATGAAATAAATGAATTTCTATGCTAGATGGCAAAAAAAAAAAAAAAAAAGTAAGCACTAACTACCCAGGTGAATGGAAAGTGTTAGATTAGATCATTTACTTTTCATTTCTGGGAGTCATTACACTTTGGTACTCCCAGGGCTGAAAATACACTGTTCTTTGTGTAACTTAACTAGCCGATAAAATCCCCGAGATAAATTAGTATTTGATTTAGAATAAGCCTTACCCAACGCAACAAGGACTGTGTTTCCAAGATTACTGATTAAACTGAAATTGGGATACACTTTCCTTTGGGAAAGTAGTTATATTCCCTGAGATCATACAGATCAGTTACTGATGTATATATTACTATTACTTCTTTTATTTATCCATCTAGAAAACAACATCTGTTGGGTGCTAAACTATTACCCAGTCAAAGGTCTTTATTTCATGCCACTCTTGGGGTCACAATGACCTTGTCCTTCCCTAATCCCACCTTGTTCACACTCTCATGCTTTTGCATATATTGTGCCCTCTGCCTGGTAAAATGCTTCTCAGATACAAACACAGCTCAAATGCCACCTCTTAATGAAACCTTCTATGAACTCCCCTAGAAGTTAATGGGTCTTCCCTTCTCTATACCCATAGTACTTGTCATATTTCTTATCAGATTATCCTGCCATTGTCTGCTTATATCTGTCTTCTGTATGATTCTGCAAGTATCTTAAGACTAAAAGCAAGTTTTTCATTATCTTTGTATCCCACGGCCTAGCACTGCCCGGTGAAAACTAGGCTCTCCAATACCTTTATATGAATACACATGAACACTGTTTCTACAGAAAAATATTTTTTCAGCATGTCAACAGAGATATGAAGCACACTTCACTCCCTAGCCATCAACCCTCGCCCCTCACTGTAAGCAGTGTTGGTTGAGTCCCTGGCAGTAACTGTCCTTCTAGCTGAGCATCTAGAATTTTCATTGGAAAAAATTAAGCCACAGCTTTCTGTTTAGATTTGAGTTTCCCATGACAATGAGAAGAGAATAATACTGAAACAATTCCCAACAGGAGGGAAACCAGAAAGATGTGGTTCTGGTGTCTACTACACACCCCACCCTCTAGACAAGGGCACTTAAACCACATACTAAAAGAGGTTAGCAGGACTTTTTTTTTTTTTTTTTAAGATTTTATTTATTTATTTGACAGACAGAGATCACAAGTAGGCAGAGAGGCAGGCAGAGAGAGAAGGGAAGCAGGCTCCCTGCAGAGCAGAGAGCCTGATGCGGGGCTCAATCCCAGGACCCTGGGATATGACCTGAGCCGAAGGCAGAGGCTTTAACCCACGGAGCCACCCAGGCGCCCTGAGGTTAGCAGGATTTCCAGAGTAAGTAATTTCCTTTTCTCTGCTACATCAGACCTGAGTGAATCAGGGACCCCTAGATCACAGGCAAAGAGTGAAGATTCTGTGGGATCAAGTCACACTAACCAATGGGCAGTGCACACTTCGAGACGAGTTGCAATGCCTAATGAAGTCATCAAATTATGATGGTTACTGTGAGAAGAGTGAGGTCTCAAACCTGAAGGACACATATTTCAAATATTTCAATACTGAAGTACTGTGAACATAGGATTAATAAAGCCACAAACAAAATCAAAGTAACAGGACAGAATGGGATGACCTAAATCTAACACGTATTAAATGATCAACACTGAGACAGACACGGTAGGGCACTCTCCTATACATTAGACTCTTTACTACTCAGGACCAACCTTGAGATAAGGATTAGCCCCACTCTTAGAGATGAAACACAAACCTTGACAAGAGGCCCATGTTTCAAACAGGGCCTCAGAGCCCAAGCTCTTTCCATGCAACAGTCTTACCAGTCTTGCTTATTTCTCTTTAGACTGATAATGGGAGTTTTAAGACTAAATATGCCTAATTTAACCAGAACAATGGCCCTAGAAGAAAGTAAGAAAGTTGCCAAAGGCTACTTCCCAACAGGCAGCAGCCTCCCTGGTTTCACAGGAGAATTCTACCAAACTTTCCAAGAACAGAGAACCACATGCAATTTAAAGTGTTCCAGAGCATGGAGGAAAAACTTCCAAATTATTTTTTTACAAAGCCAGCAGAATATTGATATCAAAACATGACAAAGATAACACCCTCCAAAAAATAAAAGATGAGATATAAATCAATCATTAGTCATCAATATGTTGCTAACATATTCATTTAGAATTTTTATAAATATAATCTGGCAATGCATTACAAGAAGATTATCCCATCTAAGCCCGGAAATGCAAGGGTGGATATACAGTATACACATACTAATAATTTAACATGTCAAAGGAGAAGAAACAGAATGACTATCTCCATTGATGTTGAATATACAGGTAACAAAATTCAACAGCGATTCCTGACCTTTTACGCTCTTAATGAAACAAGATTTAGAAGAAGATGATTTCAAGCCAAACAACGGCAATCTCAAGCCAAAAGACAGCATCATATAATCAAGTAGAAATATTCTCATTAAAGTAAAAAATAAGATAAAAATGCCTACCATTTTAAAAAACATTTTCTGGAATTAACTACCATTTCACTTGGACAAAAAAGTCTAAACATGGAAAGTAAGTAGCAAAACCATTCGTAGATGTATCAAGGAAATGCAAGAGAATCAATACAGAAACTACTGGAGACACTAAAATAATTGAAAAATGTAAAAGATTACAAAATTAGTACAGACACAAAAAAATCAATTGCTTGGGTATGTACACCTACCATTCATTCTAAACTATGATGAAAGAGCCATTTGCTACAACATGGATGAAACTGGAGGACATTATGGTAAGTGAAACAAGCCAGACACAGAAAGATAAATACTGCTGATCCCACTTACATGTGGAATCTAAACAAGTCAAACTGGTAGAACCAGACAGTAGAACAGTGGTTGCCTGGGGCTGGAGGGTGGGGAAAATAGGGAGACACTGGTCAAA